CTCTGGTAGAATGACCCTACACTTATTTTGTGCTCTTTTGAATCTGATAATAAATTGAACAGCCTTCTCATCAGGCCTTTGACTCAACCTTGCCAAGTTTGCCATGAAAACTTCTAGCTCTATTTGGAAGAATTAGGCATGAAACGCCTCCTCCATTTGCTGCCAAGTTTGGATAGAGTCAGGTGTAAGGTCAATATACCATACAAAAGCTACCCCAGTTAGAGAATTTGGAAAAAGTCTTAACTTCATGTCATCATTAGTGGTAAACTCACCACATTGGGCTGTGAACCTAGCAATGTATTCTACTGTTGACTGGTTTCTAGTCCCATAAAAGAGAGCAAAGTCTGGTATTCTAAACCATTTTGGGTATTTATGCACCCTATTCACCCATTCATGGTATGGCTTCCTATACACAGAAGTTTGAACCTCCCGAGCCATAGGTCCACACATTTCTCTAACAATATCAGCAATTTGGTCCATAGGAATCATATTTTGTGATTGTTGGACTACCACTAGAGGAACAAATACAGGATTTGGCGGAAACCCTTGTGCTTGAGGTCCTCTTGGTCCATAGGGAGGTATATTTGGGACTGATTGTCCCTGTGGTACTGGCTGCTGTTGAGGGTATGGTTGACCTTTCTAGTCTGTCTTGTGAAAGGACCTGCGAAAGATGCTGCAATAGGAGGAACATGTGTTGTTTTTCTCCCAGTCGCAGGAAACCCTTCGAACCCCTGGGTGTGAATTCGAACAAGGGATTAGTGAACCCCCTTATGCTAGGTATGGCTTCGAACATGGGATTTGGAAATACTCTCATACCATTTTCTTGTGTTGGCTTAAATCTACCAATTTGTATGGCTTCGCTGTTAGGTAATGAGACATTTTGATTTATCACAGGCCTTGAAAGAGGCTCATACCATGACTGGGGTATAGGTGATGGTCTTTTATAATTTTGATTACTAGTTTGACCATTAGTATGTCCATTACTTTGTATAAGCTGTTTATCTCTAGCCAATCTTTGCTGAGGAACATTTGAATTTTCCTCTATATGCCTTGTGCTAGTTGGTTGATGGGAATTCATTCGATCCATAAAGGATGTTGCCCATCTCTCCATTGTGTTCATTAATTGCTATCCCATGGCATCTACCAAGCTTCCCCATGGATTCATTGGCTGGGCAGATGGAATAGTGGATGGCCTAATTCCATGGCCTCGTCCAATATTTTGAACATGTGGTGGATGTTCTGAATTGCTGGTCTGTTCGACCATAGGTTCTGATGAGATAGGTGCTTCCATAGGTTGTGTTATCACATTATCCTTTGGATCAGGTACTTCTATCTTTCCCTCCACACCTTCTTCCATGCATTCATTTTCTCCTTGTCTCCTACGTCTAGCTATTTTAATTAGTTCCACTGGGCGTGCCAAAAAATATATGTTGACTTTTTTGGCTTTCGAAGGTTAATAATGTAATTTTAAGCGTGCCGGCAAGGATTAATCAGTCCTCACAAAATATTAATTGCCAACCAATTATCAGACGATTGTGTTTTAGTTCTCTCAACCTCAATGAAAAAGACTTTTATTGGTGGCTTGTTTAGGAGAATTTAGTAAATAACAACAAGTGAAGAACAATTTCAGAATCTGAATTTCATTAAGTAAATGAAAACTTACAATGATCTGACCCGGCCTCGTAGAGGTTTATAGTAACAAGTTATTAGAAAATTACTCTCAGGAATGAAGTGCAGTATAGGAATTGAAGTATAGAAATGTAAAGAATTGTAAAAACTGGAAGAAAAAAACAAAGTAAATAAATTGATTTTTTGATCTGAGTTTGGATCCTTCATTTTGGGGCATTCTCTACTATTTATGCTTTCCAATGATAACCGTTGAAGTGGGCTTCTAACGGTCGAAATGTCCTCCCATGATTGCTGAACATGCTCTCTCACAGTCAGTCCCATTACGCCACTCTTGCAGTTAGGCTTTCCTTTTGATTTTGAATTTGAACTTTGTGAGTAACCGTTAGGCCACATCACCTTGTATCTCTCGATTGTTCCAGTGCTACTCATTATTATCAATACAGACTGACACGTGTCTGACTTTGGTTGGCAACTTGTATTAACTCCCTAAATTGCCCTCTTCATGCCACGTGTTGAATTGTGATTGGCTTTTACAAATTATACAGCCAACAAAAATCAAATTAAGTTTACAAATCTATGACCAATACTATTATTTTTGGATTTTGCTAACAAGTTTTCTAGAAGACACGAAAAAAACAACTCATAAATGGGACATTTACACACAAGTCTTAATTTATGAATTTATGTTCCATTAAATCCTAATAAAAGTTTTTTGGACCTTCAACTCCTATTAAATTTTGAATAGTCAGAATTGTTCATCATTTATGATTATCTATAAAGGAACATGATGATTTGACATTTATTTTGATTTTCAAAACTTTAAAATATCAACTTTCAAATTGAAAAAACTAAAAAATTATGCACAAAAAAAAAAGGAAGAAAATTTTGAATTTTTTTTGTGCAAAACGAAAATTTTTGTGCCTATAAGGGAGCATGATGATGAACATTGATGTGCAAAATTAGGGGGAAAAAAAACTTTAAAAATTAAAAAATTGATAATGTTTTTAGTTTTAAAACTAAAAAAAAATTAATAATGTTCTCGATTTTATTGAATAGTTAAATCAAACCAATAAGTAGAAGGACAAAAACATTTAATTCCATGTTATATTTTTTTTATCAATTAGTGAAATAATTATCCGAAACATTACTATGCAAAATTGATAATATTCTTAGTTTTAAAAATTGAAAAAAACTGATAATATTCTCAGCTTTACTAAATAAGACTTATTGGTTCAAAAGATCTTAGACAGGACCTGAGCTACCATAACATTTGTAAATATAATTTTTAAGTAATTAACTCTTAATAAATTGACCTTTACTAATTTTGAAATACTTTTCACAAATTTTAAAACTTTATTTATCACCCTTTCTAAAACATTTTTTATACGAAACATGGGATAACATCAACGCTATCCACCTACTCCGTCCTCGCATTTCAAGCTCCACGCCACACAAATCTTCCCGCAACACAAATCTTCCCCACCACCCATGAGCAAACACAAATCTTCCCCACCATTAGGGGTGTGCGCGGTGCGGGTCGGTGTGGTTTGAGAGAAAAATAGAAACCGTATGGCGGGTGGCGGATTGATAAAAGTGTCACTAGAATTTGCCATTTTCCTTATCAAAAACCGACGGTTCGATTGGCCAATAATGACAGATTTGCCTTGGCGGTTCAGGCAGATTGGCAGTTTATAAAAAATATAATTCAAATTACAAAACTTAAATCAAAGAGTAAAAAAAAGACAAGAGATACCGTGATGTTAAGCATCTTGCGAAACTTTCTTCTGATGCAGCAAGTGTAGCAACAACATGATAATATTAACGACTATGCCATCGGTTCATTACAAGTATCTGTGGAAGCTACAATGATCAAATACAATACATAAAATTAATATCATTCAAGGTTTACAATATATTGAAAATATTTACTGTTGAAAAGTATTTAGATTGAAAAGTGAGCTGATGCAAGTTTGCAACATGGCCAGAAAAAAAAAAGATTGAAAAGTGAATTGGAATCCAACTTTATTTTTGGATTACTGACATCTTGAATTCCCCTCGAGCAGTAATGTAATACTATATTCTAAGGTATAGAACAACAAGCAAACTTAAGTAAAAAAGAATTTTTAGAATCTTATAAAACATGATTTAATAGCGGTGCGGGTCGGTGCGGTTTGGAAGAAAAATAGAAACCGGCGGATTGATAAAAGTGTCACTAGAATTTGCCATTTTTCTTACCAAAAACCGGCGGTTCGATTGACAAATAATAACAAATTTGCCTTGGCGGTGCGGTTCGGTACGATTTTAGCGGTTTCAGCGGTTTCGTTGGGTATTATGCACACCTCTACCCACCACCCATGAGCAAACGAGTTCCTTCTCCAATAGTTGCACCCGTTCCAACCCGATTAAAATTATTAAAATATATATATATATATATATATAACTTAATTTCTTTAAACATAGATTCACCTTGTTTGATTTTGATTGCTTTTTAAAAATTAAGTTTTTTTTTTAATTTTTAATTTTTAATTTTTAATTTTTATTTTTCATATTTTTTTATTATTTTTAATCAATTTTTGTAAGAAAAATATTTGGGACTCCCTTTGGGGAGGACCCCCACACCTCCAACGTGATCCTAACTCTCCATGTACGTATGGAGTCCACATCATGAGTGGTCCAGATTTGTAGGGATCTTGTAAGGGTAAAGATCTCAATCATTGCTCTTTTTTTAATATTTTAAGTAAATTTTTACTTTTCTAGATGCACAAATGCACTTAAAAAGTAAAATATTTGTGAAAAATATTTAAAAAATTCAATATATACACAATAATATGAAAATGTACTGAATTTTTTTATTTTTTATATTTGATGAATTTTTTAAAGGTTTTTTTTTTTAGAAATATTATACTTTCAAATATATTTAGGTTAAGTGCATCTAAAAAATTTAAAAAAAAAATCTTAAAATAATAAAATAATAAAAAATTTGACCAAAAACAAAAAAATACGAAAAATAAAAAATTCAATTTTCTAAAACCAAACAAGATAAATAAGTCTAATAATTTAAAATTTTACACTTAACATTCATTTTCACTTATTTATTTATCATTTTAAATTTTTTTGGAACTCTTATAAATTTATTACATACCATATCACTTACCTTACATACCATATCACTTACCTCTCCCCGGTGGAATATTTGAAAGAGTAAAGATATAAAGAGCTCATCCTCATGCTTCTTCTTCGCTGCTTTTCAGCCGTCAGGTTTACCATAGAAAATGTTATTTTTACTTCTTTTAAAAAGAAAAAAATATTTATTTTGTATAATTTGATATATAAATTGATGTGGCATCTTATGTATAATTGGTTTTTTAATCTTTTTTGGGACAAAATAATAACTTCATTCAAAGAGAATAACAAACACAAATAAGAGTTCTCAGATTCAAATTACATAACTAACGAAAAAACATTGCAAGTAAAACAAGGAAGCTAAATTACATCCAACTATATACACAATCATCACCAAACACTTGAAATGTTGTAGCTCCACACCACCATAAATGTAGCTTCCCAATCTTCTTATCCTTCAGTCAAAACCCAAACACCACCCGTCCAAGATGAAAAGTAATAACACAAGACCTGCAAAGAGAAGAGGAGAAATTTATAAAGCATAAATATATATACACTAAAGCCATGTAAGTTAACAATTAAACAAAGTCACATGTTCACATGTTCACATTTTTCTACGGTGTAAGATAGTAACAACTTCAAAGGAAGTACAGGAAAACACATATTTATCTTTATATATATATATATATATATGAAGATCAATCTCTGCAACATTTCGAATGTAGTCTGAGTAGTGAATTGGAATTCAAAGCATAGGTTGTGGAACCAAAAGCTAACAACTATCTCCAAGGGCCAAATGTGGGTCAACCAACTCAATCACTTTCAACAAAATAAGTGCACATACCTCAAGAAGAAATGCCACCTGAAACCTTGATCAATGAATTCTCAAACACGTTCAATTTGACAGGTATTTGAACATCTAGGAGCCATGACAAGTTCCTTAAAAAACTCATTCTCTCCCTCCATGCTTGAAATTACATTCCTAATTGTCATCTTTGTCAAGACCTCCGCATTTTTCAATAGATACTTTATCAGATTAAGTTCATCTTGGGACGCATCAATGCCAAGACCTCAAACAACTTGACACCTCTTGTGGTTCAAACCAATTGAATTGCTTTGAATATGCAAAACCATCATGAAGTGGTACCTAGAAACCAAAAAACAATAAGGTAAGAATTTGCAAATCACTGGCTTGGAATTATTCTTTTTAACTCACCTTTGCAAATGCCATAGTGCACAGATTAGGTGCACCATTGAGCAAGTCAAACAAACTCTCGCAGCAAAAATTGTGGCAAACACCCAATTCCAATTGGGTCAAATTAGGAAACACAGGCCAATTTTTGTCATTAGCAAAGCTGAGCGCCTGCATCAGAGATGATAAAAGATAAAACTAGTCAAATATATAAAACCGAAATGATGCTGGATAAAGTTCTAAAATGATAGCATATATATGATAATCTACATCTTATCTCAACTTCTTATAAGTAAATGATCAAAAGGAAGAGTAAACTTACTGCCATAGTGCTACCCTTTAGATGTAGATGCTTAACATTAGAAATTACTTTCAAAAGCCCATATAATTGGTTGACCTGTGTAATGGCTGAAAAAGCATATGGAAAGGGGGCTTCAACACAAACACTGGCTTTAACTAATGAGGATAGGCTCTTCAAACAATAAAGAACCAAGCAACTATCTGCAACATGAAGGCATTCAAGAATTGGTGCATTGACCATGACCACAGTCTCAGAGTTTCGGTATTGCGTCGAAATTAAAGATAAAGATATGTGTACGGGGAGGAAATAATTCTCCTCGTATAATCCTGTTGACCAAGTCCACGCTTCTCCGTACGACGTCGCTTTGTCACCTGAAAACACAAACGTGAGCTAGCCGGCGGGTGTGTGCCGAAAACCCCTCCGATGCCTAAGTCAGAAAACTTGACAAATAGACAAAGCTCTAAGTTCTCAGAAAGATTGTGTTCAAATTACCTCTTCCAAGGTGATGTTTGTAGGCTTTTATAAGTTTCCCGTGGCACAATCCTAGTAGGACTTGTACTTCTCCATGCAGAGTCCTCCTAGGATTCATTCTCCTAAGGATAATGCTTATCCTTTTACACCCTCCCCACTGCTTAAACCAAGTGGGATGGTTTTCTTCATGGCCGAACTATAACATGACCGAAATAACACTGGCTCTGCTGAGCCACATAGAAGGCCGAACTATCATTAGCTCGGTCTTCTCCTCTAACTCATTACTTCGGCTGCCCTTGTTCAACCTTGGTGTGCTTAGGTCAACCTTCCCAGTAACAAGTTCTGACCGACCTAACCATAGTATGTGACGACCGGACTAATCCCTAAACCAGCCTTCCCTGTACATATCGCGACCGGACTAATACTGAGACCGGCCTAACTCCAAGTTGCCTCCGACCGGAGTAGCTTTATTCTTCCTCAGGCCGAAGTAACTATTTCTTCTTTAAGCCGGAGTAATCTCACCTCTATGGGCCGAAGTAAAAGAATCGATAAAAAGCCGTAGTGTTACTTCGGCCCAACTCACAGCTCGGCCCAATTCTTTCCCAAAAATTACCCTCTCAATATGTATAAAGTCTTCAGAGCTGGTGAAGAAATGTCATATGTTGTTTTCCCAAAACCCACTAGTGCTGAAATGGATAATTCTTCGAGCACAGGGCAGGAAGAAAAGAGCTTCTGGGTCAGGTCATTACTTGGATAAATAAGTGAAACATGAAAGATCTTGAGACAAGGAAAAGAGATTAAGGCAGGAACATCAAAATGAACTTGAGATCCTAGCTTTAAGACTACAAGCGTTTCGCAAATAAAGAGGTTGCTAGGCAACCTAAGAATTATTAATCCGCAAACATTGATATCAATTTCACGGACATCACGCTTTACAGCAGCACTTATCCATGAATTCAAACGAGATTTGTCAATATCTGGATCACAACTTAGATAGAATCGTTGAATACTTGACAAATCATGTAAGAGAAGTACTCTTTCAATGAAATTCATAAAGCTCACATGGCGATGATGATCCTTAGGCTTATGTATGCCAGACCGAGGATGCTCAATTAACAGTGTCTTCTCATCGAATTCCAGATTGGGGACACAAGTCCATATGTGTTTCCATCTTGGTGACAGAGTGCTGGTCGCAACTGCATATTTTGTTGGAAGGAAAGAGAGAATGTGGGCAAGAACTGAATCTGGTAAGGTACTGATCCTATCTTCTCCATTCCCTGCGTTTGCTATCTTCTTTAAACTTGGTTGATGGTTCGAGCTCGAAGCCATGAATCTGCAGCGCCTGCATAGATCAAGTGTATCAAAAATTCATTCTAAAGCATCTCCAATCTTTCACCAAACCCTTCATCAAATTTAAATTTGATGACAATTTTGGTGAAAATGAGATCTAATAATCAAAATTTTAACCAAATTTACATCAACCCGTTTTCACTTTGTTTGATTAAATTGTTAAAAGAAAGAACTGAAGTTTTTGTTTTTGTTTTTGTTTTTGTCCTCATGTAAATTGGTTAAAGACGGATTTCAGAATAAGTTAGATATTTTTTAAAATATTTGACCAATTTTTTTTTGATTATTTTGAACATTGAAGTGAGCTATATCAAAGCTTTTGGTCTAAATTTTAAAACAAATTTGATGGGGAAAAAAAAGGTATAAGGTTGGAATGCTCTAATAGGTGTCTCTCTGTGTAACAGAGAGATGCAATAGAACCTCACAGAGAAAGCAATTGTAAAATCCGTTGAGACCCTCTCAAACATTTCAACAAAATTTTCATGAGTTTGATTTGACATGAACTACTCCAATACTTTTATCAAATTTTCATAAAAATCATTTCAAACATTCTCCTTTTATACCAAATTTTCCGCTCCAATTCTTCATCTTTTTAAATTTTCATTTAATTTAAATATAATGAAGGATTTGATGAGTTCTCAATTTGATGAAAAAAATGACTTTCCCTTGATTTGATGAACATTTGATAAAAGGATTAGATTATTTTTGAGTAAATTTTTCTCAAATTTAAATCGATGAAAGAAAAGATGTGAAGGATTGGAGATGCTCCATAGTAGATCCACAGGTTCTATTTGGATATTGAGAAAACTCAAACAAGAAAATAAAATAGGATTGTTATTACCTAGTATGAAAAAAGGGTAAATAAATAAATAAATAGAATTGACCCTAAGACCATCTCCAATCCTTCACTAATTTTTTCATCTAATTTGATTATAAATCCGAGCAAAAATTTGATTTGATATGAACTATTATAGTCCTTTCATCCAATTTTTATCAAAATCTTTTTTAAGAATTCCCCTCTTATCCAGGTTGTTAAAATCAGGATACTATGTTGAATCATTGGAAGGGACTCATGGATCAGATCGTAGAATTGGATCGAAAATCATAAAATTCTACTTTCAATGTAAAAAAAAAAATAATAATAATAATAATAATTATGAATAATGATAATATATATTACATAATTTTTATAAAATTAAAAAAAAATGATAAATTTGATATAATGTATTTTTTATGTTAACATTGATTAGAAAGATATACACATATACATACATATATATAAGAAATAAATAATAACAAAAAAAATGTATAGGATTGGGATCGTAGTGAAATCGGGATCGTATTCTACACAATTTTATGAATAGGCTTGTAATCATTTTAAGATACTACTAAATTTAAGATTATAGTGTAATCCGAATCGTTTGACCCAAATAAAGTTGTAGAATCATAAAATCTTACAATTCGGATCGAGATTTTGATAACTATACTCGTATCCCAAATTTTCCTTCTCATCAAATTTGATGAGAAAAAATCATCTAAATTTTCATCAAATTCAAATTTAATGAAAAAATTGATGAGTTCCCAATTCAATAAAAAAAATGACTCTTAATTTGGTAAATATTTGATGAAAAAATTAGAGATAATTTTTTAGTATATTTTCATCAAATTAAATTTGATGCAAGACAAGATCAACGATTGGAGATGCAACTTTCGGATTTCGAGTTTTTCTTTTGATTTCAATATGGTTTCTCACAAACCAAGACTGTTTCAGTCAATTTCATCACTCTCACGTGAGAAAAGAGAGTAAGCAAAAATGATGATAAATTTTTTATCTGAGTGACTGTTTTTCAAATTACTTGCAATTTTCTATTCAATTCAACAAGATTCAAACAAAGTGAAAAATTAAAGAGAATTTGGGGGGAAGAAGAAGTACCTCTTCATTGCTTCAGCTGCTGCGATAGAAAATGATGAAACTTTAGGGTTCCGGTTATAGCCTTCTCACTTCTCCCCCATTATATATACAACAATGATTCATCCTCTAATTTAAGAGCACTAATTGAGCATTAATGAGGGTTTCAGGTTATAACCTTCTCACTTCTTTCCCATTATATATACAACAATGATTCATCCTCTAATTTAAGAGCACTAATTGAACATTAATGAGGTGAAAATTTATACCAAAAAAAAAAAAAAAAACTTAAAGCTAAAATATCACATCAATGAGTGCGACTCACTCCTAGAGCTCCTTTAGAACTGATAATTTAGAGTTTCCAAATATTTTTCTTATACATATAGCTCAATTTAAATTTCACTTTTTTTTGTCTGTATTATTTTAAATTTTATAATTTAAGTCTAATTTTAATTTAATTTTTCTATTCAAGTAGGAAGTTACAATGAATGTCTTTAGAATAATTGTTAGTCACAATACACTGAAAAAAATTAACAGATACTTGGAAAGACGGATCAAATAAAACTGAATTTAAAATGCAAAAATTAAATTATTCAATTTAAAAAAATAAAATTCAAATAAAATTACATTAAAAAGTGTAATTAACCCTAACATATAACCACTGTTAAATTACATTAAGTGTTCCTCGAAGTTCAGAGATTCCATTTTTTTTTTTCTTTTATTACCTGAACGGATCAGATTTAATAGAATGAAAGTATAAGAATAAATATATATATATATATATATTTTAATGTGAAAAAGTGACAACATAATTTTTTTATTTATATAATTAATAAATTGTTATTAAAAAAATAACTTTAAAAAATTTTATATAATTAATAAATTGTTATTAAAAAAATAACTTTAAAAAATTTAATATAATTATGACAAAATCATAAATAAAAAAACTTCAATTTTATGAGTAGTGCTAGAGATCCCAAAAATTCTATCAAAATTTTTACCAAATGTCTCACATGGGGTGAGACCCACATCATGTGGGTATCACATCATGTCACACCCGTGTGAGACATTTGATAAAAATTTTGATAAATTTTTTAAGATCTATAACATTTTTGTTATATGAGAAATGAACCTAAACAAAACAAAAGAATCACAAAAAGTCATGAGAACTAACAATAAAATCATTAAATAAAGACAGATCCCAAAACCCTAAGAGATTAGGTTAGTGGGTATTACTTAGGACTTAAGAATATATTTCCTAACTCTAGGTATTTGTCCAATCCACGTGGTGAGAACGTTTTACGTAAATATCAAAATTAATCGAGGTGCATAAGTTAATCTAAATATCCGGTCATCATAAAAAAAATAATAAATAAAGACAGATCTATCCGAACAAGTCATTGATGTTTGCCACTAAACGTGTTGGTTTAATGCACTTTACAGATATGCACAAAGCTGTCATCAATTTAAATTTTTATCCTCCGAGCTATAATCAAATTTTTTTATTTTATTCTTAAATTATCAATTTCACTTATTTAATTTTTTAAATTTATATTTTAAAATATCTTTTAATTGAGTATAACTAATCACAAGAATTTCTTTTAATTATATTGTTATCAAACTATCTATCTATCTTTCTTATCTATCTATCTGTTTTTCCATCTCCTATACTTCTGTATCTATCTTTCTATCTTGTATATCTATCTATCTAATCTATCTATCTAAAGGGAAGACTTGAGTTGATGTTTATTCCAAAACACTCCTATATCAGTTACATGAGCATTTATGCCCAAAATTCAAAAAACAAAAAATGATCATATTTGCACGTATCGCGTGTGCCACCGCTTCTAGTATGTGTTACACATACAGATTGGCCATACATCCCTGAAATTTTGTTAATAAAAAATAAATTCAAAATCACATATTTACCATCATCTGAAACTAATACTTTCTTTGAATATATATGGTTTGGCACCATCCCCCAAGATAAGTTTGGGAAAAAAAAAAAGAAAAAAAAGGACCACTACGCAGAACAAAGATCACTAAAGCACATACCAAAAGATTAAAATGAACCCAATAAACAACAAAGATCATATTATCCTTGAAACAGAAAATCATGAACTTGCAAGACCTACTCAGTAAAAGGAAAGAAATCCATCAAGCCCGCGAACCAAAACCGCAAATCCAAGACAAGCTGCCTAAAAAAAAGAAAAAAAAAAGAAAAAGAAATGTTAATTGGAATCACACCATAAACATTTCCTTAAAGAAATATTTTCAAATTTTTTTTTTTTTTTTTCAATTAGAATTAGAAATAAGGGAGTTCGAACATAACTGATGAGATAACTGACTGATTTACAAACTTGAAGACTTGAAACACCTAATTCAGCTATTTCATGGACAATCTCTATACAAAATTCTTGATTTTTTCTCTTGCAAGGTTATAAAGCCTAGAATGCAGACCCAACAAAAGCCATTTCATTTGTTGCCTTGTAGGGAATACATCAGTATTCAAATGGTGTCTCTATGAATCTGAGAATCTAAGGTATTGTGGTGTGGTTGAGTAACAATCTCTTGCACAAAGAAAATTGAAAAAATAACATGACGAAGAAGGATGTCGGGGTTCAAGCTACACAGTCCATTCCTTTAATCCAAATCTCAGTTGTTAATAGGACTTTTTAACTAATATCACAAAGTACAAAAGCATTTGATCAATTGAAATTATTAGTTTCAATAGCAGCTCAAGAATAGAATATTTATCCATCATAATGACTCCATTTAGTAACAATGGCTGGATCTTAAAAGACACATTTAGCAAGTACCTAAAAAAATTAAAAAAAAAACATTTAGTTTAGTAGGAAATGAGAAAACATGTTTCAGACCACTCATTTGATGACTCCATACACTCTTAAGACAATGTTTGGTTCACTAAAATGAAGGTAGAATGGAATGGAATAATCATTATTTAGCATCCCATTGGAATGACCATTCTCTTACAATGTTGAATGATGATTCTATTTGAATGAATTTTCTATCAATTTTTTGCTCTAATTGAAAGCTCGTAAACTCACTGCAATATTGAATTTGCACTTTCATGATATGTAAGTGTGCAAATGGTAGTACAAATAACATTTTTCTTATTTTCATAATTAGTAAACATACCTCCAGAAGAAGTGCCAACTGAAACCTTTATGAATGATATCTCAAACAAGTTCAATTTGACAAGATTTTGAACACCTTGGTAACCTGACAAGGAGCCTAAGAAACTCAGCCTCTTCCTTCATGCTTAACATTCTGTACCCAATTGTCATCTTTTCTAAGACTATTGCATTTTCCAAGAAATACTTTACCAGATCGCGTTCATCTTGCAACCCATCAATGCCAGAGACTGTAATTTCTTTAAGGGTACACCTAAAACAACTGGGCACCCCTTGTGGTTCAAACCAGTAGAATTGCTCCGAAGGTTCAAAACTATCAAGAAGTGGTACCTAAAAACCAAGAAAAAGCAAAGGTAAGAACTTGCAAATCACCGGTTTGGAATTGTAATTTTATTTATTTATTATTTTTAACTCACCTTCGTAAATACCATAGTGCACAAATTAGGCACACCATTGAGTAAGTTGGGCAAACTCTTGCAGCCAACATCATCAAATCCTAAATGGGTCAAATTAGGAAACACGGGCCAATTTTTGTCATTAGCAATGCCGAGAACCTTCATCAGAGAAGATAAAAATAGTCAAATATACAAATCTGAAATGTTTCTTGATGAAGTTCAAAAAATGATAACATATGACAATCTACATCTTCGCTTCTTAAAGTAAATGATCAAAACGAAGAATGAACTCACTGCCATAGTGCTAGACTTTAGATGCAGATGCTTAACATTAGAGATTGCCTCCAAAAGCACACGCGCTCAGTTCAGATGTGGCATGGCTCCAAGAGCATGTGGATGGGAGGCATCAACACAAACACTTGCTTTAACTAATGAAGATAAGCTGTTCAGACAATATTGAACAAAGCAATCATCTTCAATGCAAAGGTAGTCAAGAATTGGTGCATCGACAATAACCACGATCTCAGAGTCTCCATATTCCTTTACACATAAAGACAAGTATAAAGTCTTCAGAGCTGATGAAGAAATGTTATATACTGTTTTTCCAGGACCCATGACCGCTGTAATGGATAATTCTTCGAGCATGGGGCAGGATGAAAAGAGCTTCTGGGTCAAGTCATTACTAGGAGAAATAAGTGAAACATGAAAGATCCTGAGACAAGGGAAAGAAATTGAGGTAGGAACATCAAAATGAAGTTGCGATCCAAGCTTCAAGACTACAAGCGTATTGCAAGTAAAGAGGCTTCTAGGAAACTTAAGCTCCAAGTGTTCACAAACATTGATATCAATTTCATGGACACCTATGTTACACGGACTCGGGTACGGGTATCGGGTGCGGGTGCGTATCTAGGGGTCGAACAGTTTAAAATTAAAAATTAAGGATACGTGGATATGTATCCAAATTGGATACGGGTACGGGGATACGTTAAATAATTTAAAAAAAATATATATATTTATATAATAATAATAGTTATAATTATAATTATTAACTATTAATAGTTATTAACTATTATTATATATTGTTATAGTTATTATAATGATAGATAGATATACGAATAGATAGACAGATACGGTAGATCGAGAGGAGATCAAGAGCAGTACGCTAGGAAGCATAGATACGGATACGAGATATGGATACGACACGATACGGGTACGGCGATACGACAAAACCTAAAAAAATAGGATACCGGTACGGTTAGGATACGTTTGTGAAAAATATATTTTTTAAAATTATTAATAGTGAGTTACACATAAACTAAAGAACGTTGAGAAATCATAATGTAATTTTATAATGCAAAATATTAACTTTTAAGAATTTTGTATTAATTTAAGCTAGTAGCTTGTTTACTTATTAAATTTTTAATAGATTTTGCAAATATTTCAATTCAAGATCAAGTTTAATATATTTATATTATAATAATAAAACAATTCACAATTGGTCCTTATACTTTTTCCTTTGACACTAGTGAAAAATATTGTATTCAAGTTTACTTGCTTATTTATTTATTGATAATTAATTTTACCATTGTTATATTCTCTTGTTAATTCTTACTTTTTATGTAGTTATAGGGGACATGCATGAAATAATTAGGATACATCAGTTTGATAAATTCTATTATTTAACTCACTATACTCTTCTTATCGAAAAACTTAACAAAGTATTAGAAAAATATTTTTATATTTATACTTGCAATTATATTATATTATATTACTATGCAAGAAATGTTACAATTCTAATTTCTTAAAACAAGTAAACATGACTTGAAGTATCTGATACTTCAAAATTAAGTATCCGATACTCCAAAATTAATAAAAAAATAATTAAGAAGTATCCGATACTTTTAATAAGTATCCAATACGTATCCGTGAGTATCCAAGGAGTATCGGTATCCGATACGGATATGATACGAATACGTCACCCTATTTGAAGTATCCGTGCTTCATAGGCAGTACGGGAGAGAAGAGGAGATCGAGAAATCGAGAGCAGTATCGGAGAGAAGAGGAGATCGAGAGAAGATGAGATCGAGAGACGACAGAACAGGAGAGATCGAGAGACGAAAGAACAGGAGACGAGATCAAGAGTGAAGGATCGATTGGGGTGAGATCGAAGCCTGCGACTAGAGAGAAGTCGGCGACCAGGTTCTTGCTCTCTCCTCTTTCCTCTCTTCTGTATTTAGGGCTATTTCGTTGCTTCTCTATGTAGGGCAAAACATAGCCGTATCCATTTGTGATGAGCCGTATCCCGGCCATATCCCGCACCCGTACCCGTGTCGTGTCGTGTCGACACGGGTACCTCCGAAATTTCAAAGAGTCCGTGTAACATAGATGGACACTATGCTTTATAGCAACACCTATCCATGTGCTCAAATGAGATGTATCAATTTCTGGATTACATCCTAGAGAGAATCGTTTAATACTTGACAAATCATGCAAGAGGACTCGGTCAATGAAATTCATGAACCTGCCATTGTCATTGTGCTTACGGAACGGAATATACGAAGGTAACAGTAGTGGACCATTGAATTCCAAAATGGGGACAGAAGCCCATATGTGTTTCCATCTTGATGATAGAATGCTGGTCCGAACTGCATATTTTGTTGGAAGGAAAGAGAGAATGTGGACAAGAATTGAGTCTGGTAACCTGCTGATCCTATCTTCTCCATTCTCATTCCCTTCCTTCTTCAAACTAGGCTGGTTGTTCAAGCTAGAAGCCATAAATCTGCGATGCCTGAATAGATAAAGTGTGTCAAAAATTCATTCAAATAGTCAATGGTGGATACATGAAGGCACCAGGAGTGGGACATACCCCACCTCAATTTTTTATAATTACAATAGTACCTATATAAAGTGATTTTTGTTTACCCTGAGAAATTATAATGTTGCCCACCCTAAATCATTTAAGACCCCTTCAAAATTAATTTTTTTAAAAGCCCTTCTTTTTTCTATCAATCACATAATAACTCTGAATACAGAAATGACTCTCTTTCTCTCTCTTCTCTATGTTCTCTCTATTTTATTCTCACTTCGCAAAAATAATTTTTCCCTTCTAGTACTTCTCGTATAATTTTTCTTAAAAGCCTTTTTTATTTTTTTATTGGGTAAATTACACATGCGGTCCATATAGGTTGCATATTAAACCAATTTGATCCTACAGTTCCAATTGCATCATTTTTTCCTTTAATTTTTCACATTATGTCAATTTAATCCAATTCATAACTCTCATTAGAAGGAAAATTAAGTACTAAGAAAAGAGTCCATTCAATCTTCTCAAAACAAATTGAGGGATTGATATACAATTTGCAATAGATGTGTCTGTGTGTGTAACAGATAGATGACCACAATATATCGATAGGTTCTGTTTGGTTGTCAAGAAACTCAAACAAGAAAAAAAAAATGTTGACTTTTTAAAATTCTTGTTACCTAGTATGAGAAGCATAAAAATAAAAAAATAAAAAAATAAAAAAGAGGCAAAAACTCAACCTTACTGAGTTGAGTATCCCATTTTTCTATCACCAAAATCTCGGTTTTCCAATTTTTATTTTGATTTCAATAGATTTCTCAGCAACCAAATGGAAGGTTATTGTTTCTCTCGATTTCCTAGCTCTTACTTGTAATACCCCACCCCAAAGTGTAATTTGTTGTGCAATTATGGTGGAATAATAATGTATCGTTATGGAATAAAATCGCAGTATTAATGGTAGAGTAAAATCTCAACTAAGCAATGTAACTTATAATGGTTATGTTAAATTAAAGTTGTGGATCAATGATCATATTAATGTATGAATTAATGTAAAGGAATATTAACCAATGATCATACTAATGTAAAGAAATATTAACCAGGGCCTTTCACCTAGTGCTTGTGTAGCACCACTTTGTGGTGTGAGGTTGTGGGTTCAAATTCTATGGAGAAGGGTTTCATACCCTTTTTCTTACCCCTTTCCCCTACTAACAACTAACAAGCGAACTCCTATTGATACATACCACGTGACAAAATAATAACAATAATAATGTAAAGGAATATTGTAGAGCATGTCATAGAAACAAATAGGTAGTTCTTGTAAGAGAATATTTGCATATATATCATTATTGGTGGTGTGTCATGTGAAGTTGGGAGAATTGCTAGGCATTAAATTAGGCAGTGAGAAAAAAGAGGAAGTAAACAAATCAAATATGAAAAGAGAAACATGGGGGAAGTGAACGTGGACTCTTTAGCAGATTTGTGAGAAGAATTAAGAGAATTAAGAAACAGAAGAATGGTTTGGGTCTATTACATGTGTAAAGAGATTTAGCAATATTCTGAGAGAGAGAGAGAGAGAGAGAGAGAGAGAGAGAAGATTAGAAAAGGAAAATAAGAAGAAAAAAATAAAGAAATATTAACCAGGGCCTTTCACCTAGTGCTTGTGTAGCACCACTTTGTGGTGTGAGGTTGTGGGTTCAAATTCTATGGAGAAGGGTTTCATACCCTTTTTCTTACCCCTTTCCCCTACTAACAACTAACAAGCGAACTCCTATTGATACATACCACGTGACAAAATAATAACAATAATAATGTAAAGGAATATTGTAGAGCATGTCATAGAAACAAATAGGTAGTTCTTGTAAGAGAATATTTGTATATATATCATTATTGGTGGTGTGTCATGTGAAGTTGGGAGAATTGCTAGGCATTAAATTAGGCAGTGAGAAAAAAGAGGAAGTAAACAAATCAAATATGAAAAGAGAAACATGGGGGAAGTGAACGTGGACTCTTTAGTAGATTTGTGAGAGGAATTAAGAGAATTAAGAAATAGAAGAATGGTTTGGGTCTATTACATGTGTAAAGAGATTTAGCAATATTCTGAGAGAGAGAGAGAGAGAGAAGATTAGATAAGGAAAATAAGAAGAAAAAAAATATTAGTAAAGAAAGTTTAATGGCATCTATCACAATGGTTTATACATAGGGTTAGGGTAGGGGTAGGGGGAAGGTCGAGACAAGGCCCAAAGAGTTGAAAAATGAATAGAGACAGAGAGATAAAGAAAAAAAAATAGTAGCCCAAACGGAGATGATTGTCCAAATAATCAAATAATAAGATTATGTTCCGTGGAGATGAAAAAATTAAGAATATCTATTGGTTTTCGATCAATAATTTCATAAGTGATCTTCTACCACTTCCGGTACCTTATAATTGAATACTCATGTTTAGCATTATTGAAATGTAATGTTTTGTTACTCTCATGTTTTATGAAATATGGATCAAGTACGAATGTAAACTGATTATGAGAATTGAAATTATTTTGTTATCCATCTATCTTTGTACTATCAAAATATCGATTTTATTGTCACTGAAATTTTATGTTTTGTTTTAGAAGCTTGGCTCAATCTGACTATAAATTCTTCCCACAGGCTAATGTGGTCGTAGGAATGTTCAAATTATTGACCCACTCGACCAAACTGGTCCGGGCCAAATTGACTACAACAGTCGGCTTCATCACAAAATTGGTTGAACGAAGCGGAAGCGGGACCGAGTACACGGACATATAGAAGTTTCTAACGTTGGGAGCACTAATGGGAGCATGTATATATTTTACATATTAAATTATTAAATATCTATCTATATTCTAAAAATTATTATTTTTCTACTTGTAATGTATTTGTTAAAATATGAATTTTTATTGGAGATTGATCTTATCTACAAATTGTCTTTGTTTAAGTATAAATAAATATTATGTAAATAGAAAGCAATACAATAAGTTTGAGTTGTTTTTCTTTTATTTCTTTAAGATTTGTATGCTTGAGAGGATCTATCTTAGTTTGAAGCAAGTTCTTCGTCGACGGGAGTTTCTTACTTGGGAGGGCGGAATCACGTTTCTTAGTAAGAAACGACACCAAATTAGGAGTTTCTGCTACTAAGGGTCGACTGCAGATTTAAAGTGGCCAAAAAATTAATTAATTAGCCAACAATGGGTCCAAGAAAAATTGAACTGCTTAAAACCGAACCAACAGACTATACACATGGCTTCATTTTATTGGCCATTTCATATTTCACTTCATCCCATTATCACCATATAGGGAACTTACATGAGGGTTTTTCCAATACAAAATCTAAAACAAATTTATTATGATTCTCTCTCTCTCTCTCTCTCTCTCACCTATTCAATCTCCCTCTTCAACAAAACCCCATTTCCCTCTTCCATCTCCCTCTCCAATAAATTCTGATGGTGCCGATGTAGTCAATTTAAGGTGGATCGATGGTGGCAGAGCAATAGCAATAGGGATGGTGAGGGCAATGGAGTTTATCAATGGTGGCAGTGGCTCTAAACAACGGCAAGTCTCACCTCGCTAAAAAATGTTATTCAAATTCCTTTCATGTTTGAATTTAATTTTTTTTCTCTTTTTTCCATAACCGGGAACCACGTGAGGTCCTTTCAGGCCCACCCCAAGACCGTAAACACGAGGATCAAGTGACACATCCTAATTGCATGTTCATGGCAAAAGAGCAGGGACCGACAAGAGTCTAACATGAGTTGGGCACGTGGGGAGCAAACCCACTGTCAACTAGGCTACCCCCTCAGGGGTTTCTTTCGTGTTTGAATTTGCTTACTGATTTGTTTCATTCAGCATCTTCGAATCACATTTTTATTTCATATCAGTAGATACTGGGTGTGATCAATTTTCTAAACCCTAGGCTGTGACAAGTACTTGAGTTTATGCAAATCGAATCTTTTGAACATAAGTGCATCAAAATCTTTTGAGTTTATGCAAATCGAACTTGAGTTTATGCATATTCATGAATGAAATTATATAAAAAAAATTAGGTACTTGATGATCCAACTAGATTTTCAAATAACTAATTGAATTTTCATTTTCTTTTCAACCAGATTGAAACAAAGTGGGAAAGTAAAGAGAAAATTTCAGGGAAGGAGAAGAAGTACCTGATCTACAGTGCTTTGCTGAAGAGAGCTCCAAATTTGGAATAGACACCACTTGACATGGAGACCTTCTTCTGCGCTCTTCAGTTGCAGCCGCGGTGGAAAATTAGCGAATTAATAGGATTTACAGCTTCCAGCCCTAGGTTGTGTTAGGCTGATAGCCCTAGGTTGTCTTTGGTGGATAGATTAGCATTAGACGAAATAAATGAAAAGAAAAAAGAGATGTAATTTTATTTTTTATTTGATTATAATAAAATATATAGGAGAAAATAAAGTGATACTTTTTAAGCTTATTTATATTTTTTTTTCCTTAATTTTTCAACTCAACTAAACATAATTTGAAATTCAAATTCAATCAATTCTTTTTTCTTTTGCTTTTTATTTTCCTTTCTATTTTTATTTATATTTCTCTCATCAAATCCTTCTTCTAAGCACATCCTTACTCGATTTCTAAGATGTTCAAAAATAAAAAAATGAAAATACATTAAACTTTTTTTTTTTTGGTATTTTGAAAAAGTTTTTACAGATTACTATGTAATTTTTAAAATTTTTAGATGCATCTACTAACATTTTTTTAAAAAACACTAAAACACAAAATTACAAAAAAAAAAAAAATCAAGATTTATATTTAAAATTTCAAAGCCAAACAGAATGAAAAATTGTTTCAATGAAAAATAGTATCATTCCATAATTTGTATACAAAGTGATGTTTTAGTGGCAATTTTGATGTTAAAAAGCTTAGGCATTTAGCTTAAAGTCTAATTTCACAAATTTGTGTTCTATTAAAGTCTCGTTTGTTAATTATAAATTTTAGTTAAAAAGTTAAAAAATTATTATAAGTTATCATATCATTCTTTTTATTTTTTTACATATTTTTTCATAAAAATCAAAAAATTACTAAAATAACATATTCTCAAACGAGGCCTAAGTTATAAATAAGTTTTTTAATCTCATAAGCTTCTGTTTGGGAAGCGAGTTGATTTTTTGGCTTTTTAGCTTTTTTGACTATTTCAAAAATGTTTAAGGCCCCCTTTCCCTCCCACCCCCTTTGACCCCCTTTTCCTCCCATTAGCCAGTTTTTCTTTTCTATTTTTTTTCTTTTTCTTTTCCTTCTCCTCCAATCACTACCCGCCACGTGTGTGGGGGTGGTGATTGGGGGGGTCTCTATTAATGCTCTTTTAGCGTGAGCTAAAAAACTTGGTTTGGGAAGGACTTTTTGACTTTTTTGATTTTTTTTGTGAGAGAAGAGTGTACTGATTATGGATTGGATGTAATGTTTTGTTTGTTGAGGCTAAAATAACTTGTTTTATTTTTTGTGGCTAAAATAACCAAAAAAGCCTGAAAACCTTCTTTTCAAACAATGCCTATTTTCAAACACCTCGATATAATTTAAAGCCCGGTCGAGATGGGTTGATGATTTGAATTTTTACATAAGAAAAAAGAAAAAGAAAAACACAATGACATATTTATTATTTAAAAAAATTGTGAGGATGTTTTTGTTTAAAGAATTATAAAGTTTTTTTTATTATTTAAAAAGATTTATTTTATTTACACAGTCTCAACAATAGTGTGTAAAGTGCACATTCGGATACTTTGTACAAAAAATGTGATAGTTTTAATTATCAAATCACATAATATTAAATTGTTGTTTCTATAAGGTCCCGGTGTCTCACATCGGGAATGGATAGGGAGTTCTTGGGCTATAAAAGTAAAAACCTTGACCCTTATATAGCATCGAGGACTTTCTTAGGTGGTGAAATCCTTAGCAAAACTCCCCAGTTAAGCGTGCTTAGGCTGTAGTAGTTCTAAAATGGGTGACCCACTGGGTAGAACAAATCCGTGCGGGCGTGGTCCAAAGCAGACAATATCGATGACGTGTGAACGGTTAGGGTGTTACAATCAACACCTTCTGCATTGGTGTCAAGCGGAGGATCGGTCGCATGCTGTAGCTCGCCTTTTTCGCGTCCCCTTTCGAAAGCTCGAAACGAAGCCTTAAAGTTTGGACTCCCGCGGTTCTGAATCTAATCTCACAAGTGCAATGTGAAACTGAGAATTATCAAAGAGTCCAAATCCGGTAAATCATTTTGGAAACTTGATTTTGAATGAAAAAGTGTCAAAATTGAACTGTTTTGCCAGATACAGAGTCGCCACCCAAATATTTTATTTTGGAAAAATTTAGGGAACCTGTGATTCGTGCCAAAGGCCACGTGTCCGTCATCACCAAAGTTGCCTCGGCTCGGGAACTTAGGTATGAGAGGGGAAGGTCATGAATTGAGCATCCCCGCTCGCCCGATCAAAGATCGGCCTCTATATCATGACCCGAACCCGCCCCCGTGGGTGAAGGACATAACCGGTCAGTAATCATGAGATTACCTACGGTCTCAAACCAAACCAAATGTATTTTAACAGAGTTAATGGGGGCCAAACGGAAGTAATTAAAAACTTTGTTCATAGAGCTGTGCTTACGTGGCACATCATAACAAACCATACACATGCATATTAATAACTCACAGCAAAATGTGTACTACATAAGGTTCTGTACATACAGGATCATATAAGTCTAAGTCAACCCATCACGACTATATACAACAGATGTAAAGTCTTCGCCAACATGACAGAATATAAATACATAACAAAAGGGCGAAAACGGGTCTCGTGCATGAGACACAAGGCGGACTCTCCCAAAACCTTTGTTGTTCCACATAGACTTCACTTGGGCTGGGTTTGGACTTCCCTTGGCTCACCTACAAACACATGAATGAGCGTGAGCGAAAGCCCAGCGAATAATATTAATTAAAGAAGCTATACAGACGATATGTAGAACAACATGCTTCAAACGGCCTTAGGCCCAATCAAACTTTCATTGTGTCAAAACGGCCTTTGGCCCATTCAGATAACAAAATGGCTTTTGGCCCATTCACTCGTTCATATCGAAACAGCCTCCGGCCCATTCATTCATGTCAAAACGGCCTCCGGCCCATTCATTCTTGTCAAAACGGCCTCCGGTCCATTCATTCTATTATTCAGATTAGACTGGCCTCTGGCCTACTCATTTGGTATAGCAAACATTGTCCGCTAATCGAATCATTAAACTTATAACACTTACATAGAAGTAAGCAATTGGACAACAACATATTTCAGATATCTCTGTTAAGATATTACTCACAGTGATCGGTTGGTTGGTTTGCTCTGGAGTTCGACCCTACACATTCCATGAACACAAAAGGGTCATAAACAATTCAATCCGTTCCAAATTCACATTTTCCTCTTAGGCTTCATTCTTATCTTTTTAACTCAATTACAATGCTCAATGCATGCCTAAGAGTACTTGGAAGTGAAAGAGAACAGAAAATGAAACGCAGAATGTCTTTTCAAAATTTCAGAAAACAGGGTCCTCGCTCGAGCGTGGACTTCCCCGCTCGAGCGTACCCTTGAGGCCTGCAAAAGTACTGGGTGCATCAAATTTACGCTCGAGCTTGAAGTCTATCGCTCGAGCAGAAGGCCTCACTACATGGCTCCCCGCTCGAGCATGAAATTACCCCGCTCGAGCGGACACCATGTCTGTAAAAAGTACTGGGAGCACGAAATTCACGCTCGAGCGGCGGTTTTCCCGCTCGAGTGGACATCAAAATTCTGGAAAATCCAGAATATGTTCTTGAGCTTCAATTCGAAATTCTAACCAACATTTCTTGCATACAATAGCTCAAACTTCAAATACACTTGTACTAACATGGTATAAACCCCAAATTACAACCCAGTGAAGCTCAATCTCACTAATTAATCACATGCATGTCCCAATCTACACCAAATTCACCTCCAACACAACAATTTCATGCATTCAAGCTCATATTCTTATAAATTGTACATGCATGTGAGATATAACTCTCCTTATCAACTTAAGTGGTGCAAATGGTGATCACAAGCATGAATTCTAACCAAAATCTTACATGGATCAAACATTTTGTGGTCAAACATGCAATTTCAAAGCAATTACACACATGCATGCATACATTGACCTTCAATTCAACAAAACCAACTCAATTTCATCATACTCAATTAAACTCATGTTCTTGACCATTAATCAAACTTGGATTCACAAGATGATAACTTAAAATTCATGAATTCACTTACCTAGGAGCTTCAAACCCCCAAACTCTAGCCAATTCTTGAGTTTAATCTTCAAATTCCCAAGCCTTGAGCCAAGATTACACAATTCTCTCCCTTTCTCTCTCTATAGCCGGCCCTCTCTCTCTCAAGGCACAAAATCAGATTTTTGAGCTCAAGTGTACCAATTAAGTGTATAGTGCCTCTTTACATAAGTTCCCACTAGCACCAATTTAATAATAATAAATAATTGGGCACTAATTTAATAAATTAATCCAATTAATCTGATCCGAATCAATTTCCAATTAAATTTCACCGTAAGCTCTAAAAATTACGCTAATCACAATGGTGCAATCAATTTCAGGTTCTGTGGCCGATAAGGCCTTCAATTTAATTTCCAAAGTAGATAATCAAATAGATATTCCTACGGTAAATAGATAGAAATTCAAAATTACATATTTTCACATAATGGCGCACAAAATCATATTAAACACATAATCATATTCATATTAAGGACCAATTAACATATTACGGAACAGGAATATCACAGTCTTCCCCCCTTTAGGAAGTTTGGTCCTCTAAACTTATTTTACCTTCGTTAGGAAACAAATGTGGGTAGCGTAGTTGCATTTCCTCCTCTTTTTCCTATGTAGCATCCATCCCATAATGTTCTTTCCATTCCACTTTCACCATTGGGATGAACTTGCTTCTCAATTGTTTCATTTGCCGATCAACAATTCGTTCTGGTCATTCGGCGTATTCCATATTTTCATCAATAGCTACCCGGTGATAATCAATCACATAAAACGGGTCTCGGAGGTAACCCCTCAACATCGACACATGAAACACGTTATGGATTTGTTCGAATCCCGGTAGCAAAGCAACTCTATAGGCAACTGGGCTAAGCCTTTCCAGAATCTGAAACGGCCCAATGTAACGGGGCGACAACTTTCCCTTCTTTCCAAACCTAACTTGGCCTTTCATTGGAGATACACGGATGAACACATGGTCACCAACCTCGTACTCAAGAGGTCTTCTCCGAACATCTACATAATTCTTTTGTTAGTCCTGAGCTGTTTTGAGCCTTTGCCGA